GAATAGTTTGCTGATGCCGATTCTTTAATAAAAATGGCATATTTAGGCGACATTTTTGAAAAGCTGAATTCCCTTCCCTGAAGGGAGGAAATGAGGTATAAATTCGTATTAAGTAGGTCTCGAAAGTACCAGTCGGATAAAGTGATTAAGGTGATGATTGATAGTTACATTTTTCCACAATTATATGAGCAGTCTGCACTTCTCGATTGAAATTCACGAGAATACCTTTTGGGAAGCAAGGCTGTGTGAAGTTTGGTGGAAACGTGAGGATTACTAATAAGCTTGTGTGAAAATTCCGCTATCAACGCTTCATGAGCCTCCTGTTTGGTCGGCACACAAACTTTGAGAGCCTTTCAACCTTCGTCATATCGGTCTAGTCTCATATCTTCGAAATCACCGAACACATCGAGGAATCACTGAGATGTTGCCTTCATCTCACATTGTCTGCTGTTCCGCCGTGGCCAGCATGTGAAATTTGCCAGGCGAAATTGGGCATTCCAGCATGCACTTAGCCTCGTTGAAGAGTTTCAAGCATGCCGTCCCAGCCCAGTGAAAGTGCCGCTGAGTGGGGTCGGTGGGTGATTGAGTGCAGAAGCAAGTGGGAAGGACTATTTTATGGGTTATTGGCCTGGCAGACATTGGTTCTGCGGGTTCGGTTCCAGCAGGACAACGTTAGAATCTCTTTGCAAATGCACTATGAGAAACGTTCCTCTGTTCTTTACGTAGTCATGCCTGCTAAACATGGCTCTGCTTCGCCGTCGAGAGCCTGCCGACACACAACGTGTTCGCCTTGTCTGTGGCAATGCACATGCATGTTGTTGGAGCTGCCTACGCCAATGTTCGTGCCCATGGGTGAAGGTGGATGTGTGCGGATTTGAGCATCTGTGTCCGCCTGCCTGTGAACACATTTATGTGTGTGTTTGTGTGTGTGTACATATGCTAATGAGTTATCGTGTCCGTCGGTTTCTCTTCCACACGTATGGTTGTGTTTCTGCGTGTATGCTGCAGACTGATGACTGGGGTGAAGGTGAGTGAATCTGGTTTTCCCACATGAGTCATTCTGGTCTTTCCGCTTCGGCGTATACCTGGCCGGACCGGACGAAAATAACATGTAAAATGGCGAACCCATGTCGAGGGGATTG